CAGGGCATTCAGCAACTTCCTGAATTTAATTATATCATTTATATTATAGCATTTATATTATAAATTACATATCATTTATTCCTGGCAATCCATTACTTTGCCTACATCTAGTTTGTTTTTTTCCAAACTAGAAATGTACTCATTTGATTCACCTTCTGCCAAACACAAGTCTTTAACTGCTACTCCAATTTAAGAACAGGACAGCTTATTCAAGAACAAGTCGGGAACTTAAAAAACGGCTTGATGGACAGGCTGCTTGACCTCTGGCCTTAGTGTATGCAGCTGTAACATAAAAGGGCTCAAAGATTTACAAACCCTAAGAGCCAAGGTACTACTATGATATGGTGTAAGTATGAGCCATTCCCTTCTTTAAAAACATTCCTAAGGATTTATTAATAGTGAGGTATATGTTTTCTTGTTTAATTTACAAAAAGGAGTGGTTTATTTCTAAGGAGTTGGTTTTCATCAATACTCATTTACCCATGTCTTTTTTTTTTTTTTTTTAAGATTTATTTATTCAAAAGACAGAGATACAGAGAGGGGGGAGAGAGAGAGAGAGAATCTTCATCTGCTGGTTCCCTCCCCAAAGATCATAACAGCTAGTAATAGGCCAGGCTGAAGCCAGGAGCCATGAGCTTCATTCTGGTCTCCTATGTGGGTGGCAGGACCAGGGATTTGGGCCATCTTCCACTGATTTTCCAGGCACATTAGTAGAGAGCTGGATCAGAGGTGGGGCAGCAGGGACTTGAACTGGTGCCCATATGGGATGCCGGCATCACAGGCAGTCGCCTACCTGTTGCACAATTCTAGGCTCTACCCATAGGAAAGTTCTCCCCCAAAATATTCAAGGTCATACAAATTTCCCTCTTAAAAACCATTTTCTCCTTGATTCCAGAGAAAAAATCTAATAATTCCTGGTGCATAATAGTTGTATAAGGATACAATTGCAAGTGTCAAAAATTCAGCACTATCAAGCCCTTCTGCACAAGCAAGGAATAAGGAGAACACCACCGTGAAAACCTGTATTCACTTAAACAACCCAGATAAGCTGGTAACTTTTCAAGGAACGCACAGAGGGTGAAGGAATAAACGTACCTTCAATATACTGAATTAACAAGAGAATTCTGCTTTTCCTGCTTTCATTGAAATAACTCCTAATAAACACATTATTCATCCATAAAACACTTTTATTCAAAGGAGAACCACCTGAAGGCCTGGCTTGACAGAGTTGAATAATACATTATGTTTCTTTTACCTTGTTAGTGAATAATTTTTCTAGGGTAAAAATCATTTTTATTCTCCTTTTATGTTATACATTTCTGAGATGTTTAAAAAAGAGAAAATCAGAAAACTCTCCTTGAATAATCACTGAGCAATGTGGGTGCTTTTTTGTTGTTGTTACTAAAGCAGTGATTAAACAGCCTAATATCTAATATCAATTCAACATAATTAAATATTTAGAGATCGCAGATCTATCCATGGATATGCAATGATCATCAAATTTCCAGAATCAATAACTGAATCTGAATTATTACTGTTACACCAATAAATTGAATCCCAGGGCCAATACATGTTTGCCGTCTTTCTCAGGGCACATGACACTACCACGTCCCTGGGGTACAGTGAGGGGCAAGTACCTGAGAGGAGCAGCACCAGGTGTGATCCACCCAGGCATCTCTCCCAGCACCTTGCCCCATGGTTTTTAAAGAGCATCTCTAAAGGCTTGCTGGGTAAAGGGAGCTCCAGTGGTCACATGTGTCAGTCACATGTCAATGCCTTCTTAAACAGATTGGTTTATATAGTGCTAAAGTGAACCTTAACCCTCAAAACATTTGCTTCTGATTGGTGTTCTGGTTAGCCTGCCTACTCAATCAAGATGCTCTGTAAAACTGGTTAAGTACAGCAAAACAAGACAATCAAAGGCAACTGCATATTTAGAGAGAGGAAAAAAAAAAAAGAACTGCTCACTACATTACAACATAACCTTGGCAAGTGTAGAGACTTCTGCTGACTTCTTCACTGCTGCACCTCCAGCATATTAAAGTGCCCAGCACACAGTAGGGCCTAAATAAATAAACTGCTGATCAAGCATGTCATGTCCCGTCCCCCCCCCCCGTCTCAGGACATAAAACACAATCCATCCACGGAGCGCAGGAGCTCCAACAGAGCTTCATGCTTAAGCCTGACTCTGCCAAAGGCTCTAGGATTTGGGATTAGCAACTGTTAAATAGGAGTAAATTTACACCCCGGACACTAACTGGCTAATCAAGCCTGGGCCTGGGACACATCAAGAATAGGTAAGCAAGAACTTCCAATCCTTGTCTCTGTGCATGCAGGCTGTGTCGGTGCCAGCAGCAACAAGTCAGCGCTCCTGGCAAGTCCATCAAAATTAAATCTTAAACTTTTGGAAAAAAAAACTAATATGTTTATTATGCTCCTTCAAGCTTAGAGGCTTAACTATCTGCGGGGAGGGCCTGTAATTACGATCAATTACTTATGACTTGGAGGCACTTATAATGGCATCTGCCCTTTTAAGAAACATTTAAAGAACCAAGCATCAGCCTGTAAAGCTGATCCTGGGGGCAGCAACAAATCACAGGCTTGGGGTCAAACTGACAACTCTCTCTCTCCCTCTCCGCAGAGAAGAACTGCCGTCACCTGTCCTTGATTTCCTGACTCTGCCTGAACAGAGTAGCCACCTCTGAAACCCGTTACTGCTCAGTGTGCTCAGTGTGGCGATCATGGGAGCCAGTGGTCGTCCCAAGGCAGCGGTGGAAGAAGAAACAGGAAGGAAATGAAACAGGAAGAGAGATCTGTAGCTCGTGAGGGTGACATCATCAATAATTTCCTCAAGTGTCACTGAGCTTCATGGCATATGACTGACAGCCTTTGTGGACAAACTACAGGCTCACTGTACTCAAGTAGCCCCTTTGGCTCCGAAGCCTGTAATGTAAGGGTATGAATATGATTTGTTCTTGGAAAAAAAAAAAAAAGGCCAGGTGCACTGATACCTGCTGGGAACCTGTTCTGGGCAAGCGCGTCCCACTAATCTTCAGGAACACAACGTGTAGACACCTGAAGTGCTTCTAAATGCACAAAGTGTTTTCACACGTGCCATCTCACTTGACCCTCACCAACTACCAACTCCAAGGGGTGGCTGGCACCGCACCGCTCAACAGGCAAAGACAATCTTAGAAAAAGGTGTCTTCTGATTCGTTAAGTAAATCCTCCTGACATTTGCAGTGCAGAATCTCAGTTGTGGCTCAGTGAGAGATCTCTGAAGACACACCAGCCTCAGCAGGTTTCACCCCGCGGGTGGGACGGAGGGGCCCCAGCGCGGCAGCACGGGGCGCGAGCTCTCCTCCGTCAGGAGAGCGAGTCCTGCCTCGTTAACAACAGTGGTAGTACCACCAGCGTGCCTCTGTAACACCCCCATGCTGGAAGGTCAGATGTGGCAGCTGCCTGGGATGGGACAAAACCAGAAATCTTGGTCTCAAAATTCTACTGGTGAAGTCACCCTTTGGAAGGGCTTAGGCGACACCCTAGGGAAAGTACTAAGTTAGAGGGAGCTAACTGTCCCCTCTACGCCCACTCTGATACCAACAAACACACCCTCAAGGGGTATTTTTTGTTTGTTTGTTTAGTTTTTTCAAAAACACAGAAAAAAGGTAACCTGTCGCTTTAATATGTAAGCCCACCTCCCAAAACACTCTCCCAGTCTCTTTATCTTCGACCTCCACCCTTGACAAGCTGATGGAGAGGTATAATGGAGTCCTATCTTTACAGTCATTTACTACCTTATTTATGTATTTATGATTCTCTGCTGCCTTCCAGCCTGAGTCTTCACTGTCTTGGGAACAAAACACTACACCAATCACCCAGCCTAGGGTAAGAAGAGGCAGGTCACAACCTCCCACGGAGACTGCAGGCACCCGGTCTCCCTGAGCCTGTCCAGGGTTTGGTATTTCAGGTCATTCTCGGGTCGCTCCGTTTTGATGAGTAATGTTAAACTGTTTGACTTTTCACAAAAATATTTAGCCATGCTTATTTACATCACTTCATCCGCAGCGCACGCAGCAGGCACGTAAGTGTTGAGCACAATGCCTCTCGGAAGGAGGGTCTGGGACCTCCTTCTCCCAACGCGTGAGGAGTCCACAACCCGCTCTGCCTCCGTGCATGCCTTTGTGACCTGAAGCCATGCAGCTCCTCTGTTTAAAAAAAAGATGACACAAACGCACACACAGTCAACTGCGCAAAGGGGCGATTCCAGGATCACCAAGAACCCACCATTCCCCTAAGTCTCACTCACTCACACACACACACACACACACACACAGTTTCATTTAATATCTTTAATACCGGTCACAGCACAGCAGAGACTTCAGGGACTGACTGCGTCCCCCACTCCCGCCAGTCACCCAGGAAAAGCAAGGACAAAGAGCACTGAGAATCTAAAGCCACCACACCTTGGACACCCAGCCCTTGGCAGCGGTGGTCCAGGGGCTATGCCAGCCCAGAGAGAAGTGGCACGGACAAGAAGGATGACAGCTCTGGGACGATGCTGTCTGCCACTGGGCGACTCCCCGGATCATCAGTAAGCCATTCTCATTGTGCAACTTTAATACAGAGAAACTGGGTGTGATTAGCAAACATATTCTTATCCGTTTCTGCATTTTTAAAGACCTCATTTGTGCAAGGCTCCACCCTAGAAGTTTTCTCCTCGCTTATCACACGGACAACCTGCTCCCTCTCCTTTGCAGTCGCTTAGAAAGAAAGAAAGAAAGAGAGAAAGAGAGAGAGAGAGAGAGAAAGAGAAAGAGAGAGAGAGATCCCCCGAAAGCCGGGAAACGCGCGCAGCGGTGGTCTCAGGTCTGTTGGTTCTGCCCCCAAGGCCTCCCCCGCAAGGCCCTCGGGGCGGTCGGGGAGAAAACACCGGCGGCACGGCGCCGGCGAAGCCCGCACCTCCCCGGGCCCCCGACGGCGCGGACCCCAGGGCTCACCTGACCACGTTGGGGTGCTCGAAGGTCTCCAGGTGCCTCAGCACCGCCACCTCGCGGATGGTGGAGAGCGGCATGCCTTCCTCGCCCGTCTGCACCCGCACGCGCTTCAGCGCCACGAACCGGCCTCCGTTCTTGAGGTCGCGGGCCTTGAACACCTTCCCGTAGGCGCCCTCCCCGATCTCCGCCACGCACTCGTACTGCTGGTCGGCGCGGCTCAGGCCGTCCTTCTCCATGCCGCCTGCACGCCGCGGCTCCCCGGAGCTCGGTCCCGCTCTCCTCGGCCCCGCCGGCTCCGGCGCGGGCTGGCGCAACCCTGGTGCCGCCGCGGCGAAACTCCGCCTGCCGAGCCGCCGGGGAGCGAGCCGAGCCCTCCTCTTCCCTCCCCGAAGCGAAGTCCTCCGCACCGACACCGAGGCGATCACATAGTCTCCACCCGAGCGCGTCTCGGTCCGGGGTCTTTGCGACTGAAACGGGGGACAGGAGAGAGGACGACAAGTCAGACCGCCCGGGAGCCTTCCTCGGGGTTCCTGCAGCCTCCCCTCCTCCACGGCGCCCCCACGCGCGCCCGGCCCTCTCCCGCGCCGCCCAAGCCTGCCTGGCTCCTCCCGAGCAAAGCGAGGTCACTTTCTCTCCCCGCAGGGCTGCAGCCGTCTGCGCGCGGCGAGGCTGCAGGGGCCCCTCGGGGATGAGCGCGCCGCGCGGGACGCAGGGCAACGGGAGGGGGCGTGCCGAGCGGCCCGGAGTGTGCCGGGAGCGCGGGGGAGGGGAGGCGCCGGGCGCGTCAATGTCACGGCTCCGCGCGGATCCCTCGCGCGCCGCGCCGCCCGGGGGCCTGGACGCGGGTGGGGGCTCCCGGGACCCCGGAGCCCGCGGCCGGGCAGGGTGCGAGAAGGGGTCGTCACGCATCTGCTCGGAAATTGCTTCCTTTCTTTTTCTACTTTCAGTTTTTCTAAGGGGGAGACCTTTAAAGACGCGGCGCACACGTACGTGGTCTCGCCGGGGGCCGAGGCGCCTCGGCCGGGAACGCAATCCTGCCTCCGACTCCGAGGGACCTCCCTGGTGGAAACCCCGGGAGAATCAGCCATCTGGTCGGGGCGGGCTGGGCTGCGCCGGGGTGGGCGAGCCGGAGGCCCTGGAAGGGGCAGCCCCACGTGGGATGCCGAGGGTGGGGGCGAGGGGCGTCCGCCTCCGGGACTCAGCGCGGGGAGGAAGACACCAGGACCGCCGACTCGCCCCGAAGTTTCCAGCCCAGGTCAACCTGAGCCGAACGCTACCTCCCCAGAGGGTGGTGGGGGCGGGGGGCGTCGACGCTGCGCCTCCCGGGCCGAGGGGGAAGGGGCTGCGCCCCCCGGAGCCTGCCCTCGCCACCCTTTCCCCAACCCGCGAGGCCGTCCGCGGCGCCGTGGCCCCCCGGCTCCCGCGTGCAGCCGGGGGCCGGAGCCCTCCGCACAACAAAGCCCCGGAGGGGGTGCCCTCACTTTCCCGTCTCCTCTCAGCCGCCCTCCGCCGCCGAAGGAGCCTCCCTCCCCCGCGGCCGCCGCGGCCTCGGCCGGACCTTCGCCGCGCCGGCCGCGTGTCCGCACTTCCCGGGACACCTCGGCATTACCTGCCCCGCAACCGCGGGCCCGCTCGCCTCCGGCCGGGATTAAAGGAGCAGCGGCAGCGGCAAAGCGGCGCGACCTCCCGGCCCGGCGTGCGGGCGGAGCGGACCGCAGCGAGAGCGGAGCCTCCCACACGCACTCCTTTCACAACGCTCCCCGCGAGCCGAGGAAAGCGCCCCCAGAGCCCGCCCAGGGGTCTGAGCCAGGTCGAGGGCCACACAGGTAGCGGGGGAGCCGCCGGCGGCCGCCGGACCCGCCCCTCCCGCGTCCCCTCCCCCTCCCGCCGGAGTCCGGCCCCCGGCTCCGCGGCGAAGGAAGCGGCGGGGACGTCCCACCCCCGCAGGGAACTGCGCCCGCTGGCCCCGCACCGCCCGCCTCTCCCCCCCGGCCCCCGGGCTGGCGGCTCCGGCCGAGAGAAACGGGAGCAGCAGTGCCTTTTCCCCCCCTCTCCTCCACTTTTTTTTGTTGTTGTTGTTGCTTTCCCACGCTGGCTGAATGTGACTTGACCCCATTTCAAAAAAGTTTGACATAGTGCTTCAACATTTCCGCATTCCTCCGCGACTACAAAGGCTGCAGCCGCCTCCTTCTGCTTTCTGTCTCTGCTCTGTCTTCACACTCAATGAAATCCTTCATGTGCCTCTCCCCAAGCCTGCCAAGCACCGCAAGGGTCGCCACCGGCGCAGCGCCCGGGGGGCCGCGGCGGCGGCGACCGCCACTCCCGCGTGTGCGCACACGCACAGGCGCCCACGTGCACCCGGGCGGCCGCGCCGCGGGCCACGCGTTCGAACGCCGAGGGCTGCGCTCCTGAGAGGGCAGACCTGCAAAGCGAGGCGTCCACGCGGGGCTTCCAGCCGGGGCGCCGGCGTGCACGGCTCCGCGCCTCGCACGCCCGCGGGGGCTGCCAGCAGGAAGCCTGCGTGAACGTGTGTGTCACGGTGGGCAACGCTGGAGCCCACGCCCACGGCCGCACCTCGGCGAGCTGCAGCCGCAGCTCTGGTTTGGGGGGTGGGGTGGGGTGGGGGGGCGGTGCGCGGAAACACTTTCTCCAGCATGGAGTCCCCTGAGGCGCTGCCCGTTCAGCCCCAAGTGCGGATTCCGCGGATGTCCGAGGAGCGGTCAAGTTCCGTTTGGAGGAGCGGGTGTCCGCGCGCACGGACGCGTGGGCGCTGCCACGCGACCTCCCGTCGGCGGCGGTCTCGCCTCCTCGCCAGACCGGGAAAGGCGCCGCTGCCTCCCCAGAACTGGCCCCCGTGACCGACCGCGTCTCAGTTCGCAAGGGGTTAACTGAGACGACGCGAGGACACTCAGCACCCCCCACACCACCCTACACCCACCCCCACCTCCACGCCGGCCTCGGACCCCGGCGAGCCCGCAGCGCTCCCCCGGGACCCCCCACCCGGCAGCCCACCCACCCGAGCGCCCAGCTCCTCACCTGAGGGGCCCGGTCGCGCCGGGCCTCCTGAGGGGGCTGCGGTGTCCCCGCGACCTCCGCACGTGTCCGCGGCCGCGCGGAGCAGGTAACCGGACTCTGGGGAAGGAGGTACCAGCGCCCGGCTGCTGCGAGGGGGTGGGCACAGCGGCGGAGGGCGGAGGGACTGCGGCGGGCGCCGCCCGCGCCGCTCGCTGGGGGCGGACGGGGGCCGCGGGGCTCCGGCCGGGGCTGGGGGCCCGAGCCGGGGCGGCGGCGGCGGCGGCGGGGCCGGCGGTGAGGGGCGAGGACCCGCGAGGCCGACCCTGCCCGAGCCCCGCCGTGCGCTGGGGCCGGGGGGCTCGCGGCGCGGCGGCGAGCAAGTGTGCAAATTAAAGCCTTCCGGAGGGAGGGGAGGCGGCCGAGCCCCGGCGGCGCTCGGAGGAGCCCCGCGGCTGGGCGCTCCGAGTGGGGGGCGAGCCGGGCGGCGGCGGTTGTTGGGGTGGGGGGGCGGTTAAGTGAAAATTTCCGGCTCTCGGGGAGGCTGGGGTGGGGGATCCTGCGCTAGCGGGGCGAGAGGGCGAGAGTGGGATGTGTCGTCGGGAGCCGCCTGGAGCTGGGCTTTTGACAGGGTGAGGCGGGGGCAGCGGCGGTCAGGGATGTGGACGGATGGGAAAAACACAAAACGGCCCGGCCCCGATTCCGAGGGGCCGACGGGGGTGGTAAATACCCACACTTTCCAAGAAACTGAAAAAAAAAAAAAATCAGACCAAAAAAAAAAATAATAACTCTTCTCTATTAAAAAAAAAAAAAGAAAAAAAGTTTGGCAGGATGCCTCGCAGAAAAGAAAATACTAATCTGTCCAAGCACTTTTCACTTTGAGCATGAGCTACATTTGTTTTGTTTTCCTTCGCTTCCTTTCGGCCTCACAAAGCCCTATCTTTTCCTTTTGGACGGAGGATATGGCTTGGAGATCGGCAGGCACTCTTTGTGGTCAGCGATGCACTTTGAGGGGCTGGCGGGTTCACGGTTAGCCGGGGCTTGGGAGCCTCCGAGGGCTCTCCGAGGTCTTTCTCGGGCGATTAAAGGACCCACATGGGGTGCAAATAACAGAACTGCAAAATAATAGGCACACAAAGGGGAGTGCTTAGCCTAAACGCATTATTGGAATCCTGAAATTTGAAACCCTGTGAGAATGTATGCTTTACCTTCTGAGAAAACCTGAACGTGATTATTTCAGGTGAAAATGAGATTTTGGTGGGGGGAGAATAAAAAGATCTTCAAGATTTACTACAGTGGAGGAAAAGATAACTTAAAATAACTGTCCTTTTTTTGGAAAGAATTCAGTGGTGTTCAAAATCTGTATCTGTAGAAGACTTGAAACCCTTTTAGATTTCTAAGAAGCAAAGCTAATTAAATAAGTAGATATTCCAGGGCTTTGTAGAAAAATTGTAGCAAAATTCTGCTTGAATTGCAAATATTATCTCTAAATCTTTTGAATTAAACCATGTTACTAATTGCACAGATCAAATTTTTAGTTTTATAAAATTGATTCTAAATTACAGTATGAGGTTAGGTTAAAGAAATAAAAATGGATGCTTTTCCATGATAAACATTTTGTGATTCATTATAATAATTTTTTCTTAAATAATAAAAATGAATCATTGTATTCTTTTAAACTTGAGATAATTCATCTTGTTTAAGATCACATCTTTTGAAATAAAATCCTGTTACTGAACAAAATTTTTTTAAAGTTACCTGTAATTTCATATGTGTCATACACTCAAGAATGCAAATTATTACATTTTATATTCATATAAATTATTGGAGCACTACAAATCTGTTGTACTTTAATCTAGAGACACAAATGGGAATCCTCCATTTTTCATAACTGCTCATATCTATGCTTTTTCAAACAAGATTTACTTGCTAGTAACATGTTTATGCAATCCAGAAATAAGTACCAATAAATAGCCATAGGAAACAGCACACAATGGCAAGAATTTATTTGAGTAAATAATTTGTTTAAAACATACTAAGCTGTAAATATCTTTTAAAATTAAAACAAGTGTCTTTTGTACATTGGATTGTGTTTTTATTTACTAAATTTGACAACAACAATTACTGGATTAGAAATTTCATGATTTAGGTTACTAGATTATTTGGGTAAAAAGCAAATACTGAAATTTTATTGAATTAAATAAGTGAATATCCAGTGTGAACTCTCTGTCTGCTTCTTGTTCTGATGTTTCTTGCCTTTTATGTTAATTTACCATTGTTCACTCTCCCTGTTCACCTAAGATCCCCTACTGGTTAGAGATTCAGAACCAAGGAAATTTTACAATGATTTATATAAAATTAGTAAATTCCATCTTGTCTTCGTTTATGGACAGCTTCCTCTGTGGGTAACAAGTTGTCATAACAAAATTTGTGCACAGTTTAGAAACTGTGAACCAAATTCCGACTCTTATTTTAGAGTTTTCTATGAAAAAGCACATAGCATTCAAGAGAAATGATGTTAACTGGTATTTTCATACCACATATGAGATATTCTATAGTTAAATCATCTTACAGATTTTCAAGAATTAGAATTTAAGGATTCCAAATATGATGTTGTAGCTGACGTTGAAAGTTTTCTTAGTGTCACAAAGCAAATGTATTTCATGCATGAACATTTTTATAGCATATACCTGTAAAATTTTGTTTTCACCTAAATGAAAGTAAAATCTAATGCTGTGATCTACAATTTTTAATCTTGTAAAGAAACTGGTAACTTTTTATAAAATAGTAATTATATAGTACTTGTCTAATTCTAAATTGTCTCTGGTTTATTCTATTTGAATTTATAAAATCTCTTTTTCAGAAACCTGGAAATGAAGTTTTGCTATAGTCTGCTACACAATTATTTTAATTGGTGGTCCATGTAAATGTATGCTTTTGTCTATAAAATTCTCCTGTTTATTATTTCGATAAAAAACATTTCTGGTTTATTAACTTTGAAACGAGTTACCCTACTTTTTAGCCTGATTTGCATGTGTGTGCAAATGTTATCTTTGTTGAGTAATTGCCATGAAAAACTGTTACTTGAACAGAAATAGTGTAATATAGGGCAGTGCATGTTAATGCATTCTCCCACCCTCCTCAGGCAGTTCCAAGATAATTTCTTGGGTATTTTCCTAAAACACAATATTGAATGCTAAATATCCTAAGGGAAGAAAAATCCACATTTTAAATCAACTTTTTCAATTGCAAAATTCTAAACTTGCAATGATTGTTAAAATTCAGTCTTCTAAATAAATTATTTCCTGTCAATTAGAAAATTACCTGATATGTACTGTGAGGGAAAAAAATATACCAGGTAGTAGTTTATACAATTTAAGGAGAGAAAAACAGACATTATTATCTTCTGGAACATTCTGTTTCCATGGGTTCTACTAGTCTATAATTATCCCTGTGCAACATGTCAGTACCATACTCATATTTGTATAATTGTCCTCATCTTTTCTAGGTTTTTCCCTTTTGATAGACACCCGTATCTTCTTTTCTCTCTCTCTGTGTGTGTGTGTGTGAATGCCTGTATGCTCTTAGCGTATTGTTATGACATGTTTAAAACACGCTCTTTCATCATTTGTATTAGAAGTCTGAATAATCAGAAAAGCAACTATGAAAACATACTTACAAAAGAGGGTGAAAACTACATTGAAATACCCTGTTTCCTTTCAGTTTACCTCTATTTTTCACTGGCGTCTAACATTTCTTTTCTAAGATAATACTGGCAACTTCACCGCACATATGGCCTAACAGTTGTGTTGTTAGTGCTGCTTTTGGCTGAGCTGAAAGGGGTGCATAAGTGTTAGACCATTCAGATGGGGTGGAAAAGGTACAGCCCAGAGTGGGTGAGGATGATAAGGTGGAAGCTGGGAAGCAGGAGAGATGAAGAAGACAGAGCTTCTGTGATTGGGGTGGCAGCAGGGGCAAGTGAAGGAGGCATGTGCTGAGTTTGGGGGCCACGGGGTGCAGCCTCCGTGCTGTAGCTTGTGCATCCAGGCAACTTGATTGTTTCAAGTGAATGACATCCTGTGTCTATCCCAGTATGCCATGAAATCTTTCTTATGAGATGAGATCATATAGTATGTGTATCCATATTCACATGATTCTATTTTGTGTTGGTTCATTCTGGATTTCTCCTGAAAATATGATAGAATGGAATCCTTTGACTGCCTAGAAGAAAGTCTATGATAGCGTCATTTTGAGGAGCATTTTACCATGAATTGAAGAGTGTGTCTGATTTTTAAGCCCTTTGATAAATTCGTTCAAAGTTACTTACATCTTTATATTCCCAATACCTAGTGCAGTAACTGACGAGCATTTTATATGCAACAGATCTGTCAACTGAAAAGTTGGCTTTGCATGCTTTCGTCCCTCTTCTTTGACACTATATCTTTCTATTTGCTGTACGGGACTATGCTAGAATCATTTTTAATATAATGCCAGCAAAGCATTTAATAGTTTAAAATCAGTGTACTCATTTTAGAACTCACTTTAGAGCTGTGTCTCCTTTACCTGCAGTTCCTTTCCTTCTTAGCCCCTTTTCAAAATCCTGTCTCCTTTCAAGACCCTCCATAAAAACCTTTGAAAGTCCCTCTGCTGGAAGACCTCCCTCTCCGCTCCAGCTCCTTGAGCCCATGCATTCTGCAGGGCTGAAAGCTTGAGGCTCTGCTCTCTGCACCCCAGTCCCCTTTCAGAGCATCCGCATGGCTTGTTTCCTTTTGACAGTTCTTCAGCTCCTGGCCATGCCCTCTGGCCATAGTGGGTGGCCACTTACTATTTAACCAAGTAGCCACAGGACAGACTGGAACAGTGTGACACAACTGATCACTTTTGAAAGTTAAGAACCAGTGTTTCATGTTGCTTAAACAGGAAAGAACCACTTTGGGTAAATTTGATATATTTTCTCCAGTGTTGCAGATACTGGTCATTTAAAGCATTTCTATCTGAAAGAAAATGTGTTTAAACAAATCTCTCCTTTCCCTACTCCTCAAAACTCCCAACAAAAAGAATTAGGGTGCAGGATTTTGAAAAGGGGCTTTAAAAAGAGCAAATACTAAA